TTTAGAAAAATCAACAGGTATTTTATGTTCTTGCTGAAAATGTTCACTTAAAAAGTAAAAACAAATGCAGCCACTACATCTAAGAACTGTTTTTGTTTTTAATGTTGGGGAGTTTAGATAAGCTTGTACACGGGGCTCATGTACACGGGGCGTTTGGAAAACTCTACTGAATGATGGAAACTGACTGCTGGAAAACGTAGGTTTAAAAACGTCAGTTTAGCCGCGTTTGCATACCGCGTTTTATGCGTGTTTAGAAGCATTTTTAAAAGATAACATCAGGAGACCTTCCAAAATGCCCAGAATGTGCTGAAAAATAGTAAATTAACTTTTTCAGACATTTTGAGAGGAATAGAGCGAGCAGAAGCAGAGAGAGCAGTATTTGTTGAGATGACCTGTCTTTTCTGGTTGAATTCTCTATGGATCCCATCATGAGCATAATGCAGCACGTTCTACCATTTTTTTTCCTTCACGCAAAACCTGGAACTGACTGCGCTGGTGTACTAGGTCCATTTGAATACATGGAAAACACTTTGCATGCATTTCTGATGATGAAAAAAGGCTCTGGACAGCATATGGACATGGAACAGTTAAAAATGCTTCTAAACGCAAACTCTTCTAAATGCGGTTAAACACGTTTACAAGCGTTTGGCGTTTGAAACGCTGGTAAAATCTACTCCCGAACGCAAGTTTGGTGTGTTCAAAAAGACAACTGTAAACGACTATGTGTACATGGACACATAGGAACACATTAGGGAGAGTTCAGGAGCTGCTGAAAAAAACGCTGAACAGCTCCTGAATGTCAGCTTAGCAGCTGCAGTGTACATGAGCTCTTAGGCTCAGGGTTAGAAGGTGCAAAAAATGAATGTTTGGTTTTTTAGGTAACATTTGTTTAGTGAGAAGTTTTTTTTTTTTTGTTTGTTTTTTTTTTTGTTGGAATCTTGCATCACTGTGCACATAAATGTACTAACATATTTCTTCTCTTTTCCTTTCAGAATGCGACCCAACAGAAAGCTGTGCTTTGTGCTGGTAGTGCTGGTTCCATTAAGCTTCTTCTGCTTCCATGTGATGACCAAGTCTGACAAAGTGGTGGCCGTGTGGAACAGAGACGTCCCTGAGGAAATTCTGGATAACACCATACTACAGCCTGCAGACAAATATGCTCACATATCCTTGAAATGGAAAGATGAAGTCTTAGAGTATGAACATCTGCTATATTTTACGCAGCTTCTGTTTTCCCAGATCTGACATCATTATGTAAAAGTCATGCATGTTATATTAGATGTTCAGTTACCTTCAGATTCTACCACCTCCATATTTTTCTGCCATGAGATGAACAGTGTTGCAGCATGTAAAGGCTTATTTGTTCATTTGTTATGCAAATGATTATTGCTGCTTTTGCAATCCAGCGCTGCACTGTCTTCTCCCATTGCCTATGTCTTCCTGTTGGCCTGGAAGACTCTTTTTGCAATTGGTTGCCAATAGGAAGGTTTAGGGAATAGGGGAATGCAGGCCAGAGGTCAATTCTGGAAGTTTTGGTTGTTATTTGGATATTCGAGTTTGGTAAATCCAAGGGTGCTCTGAAGATAAAGGACATGGAGCTGCCAGGTTTACAGACTTGGGGTTGAGGCTTATAATAAAGATTAACAAGGTAATGTGGCAATATAAGTGTGTATATATACACAGTATATGTGTGCATTTTAAGCTGATCGGTATCACACTGGCCTTTATCATCTATAAACCTATATGAGGCAGTCTCCCTAACCTGTCAACGTTTGTAAGGCCCCTTTCACGTGAGAAATCTGATCAGGTTCAACAGTCAGTTTTTCAGGTGGACCTGATCAGATGGTCCATGTATCCTTATGGAACGGCAGGTGTAAGCAGACTTTTGTCAGTTTATACCTGCCTACCTCCAATCCGATCCAGTCTACTAAAAAAAAAAAAAAAATGGAAGGGGATCTGTCCCCCTCCATCTAGGTAGATGGGAGGGAAGGCAGGTATAAATGGACCGCCGGTCTGTTTACACCCATCCTCCCATAGAGCAGAGCAGGCTGTGTCTGTGCCCACTCTGCATACAATGAGCAGACAAGGACCTGTCATCCACTCACTCTGTAATGCTCAGCAGGGGATCAGTGGACAGATTCTGTGCTGAGCAAATCAGATTCTGCCCCGTGTGAAAAGGGCCTTAGACTCCTATGACTTATTTCCTTAGGTCTTAGCAGCACAACTGAAGGCGGTCAAAATTGTACTTGGCCCACATAGTGCATTATAGCTATTCCAGTGGTCAATGGGTACCAGTTGTTTGGTTTAACATGCAGCCAGTCTTTGCCTACCTAGGCTGTGTATTTAATGTCCAATATAGAGTAATTCTTTAAAGCCTAAAAGTTGGGTACACACTTTCCTTTTTTATTTTTCCATTAACCAGCGGGTTAAGTAAAAAAAGAAAAGGATCACTGCATCAACACAAGTGATGTTGATGCAGCTATCTCTCCCACTGTCAGTATTCTGTAATTGTTCTAGTGTCACCTTCCTGCCCTCTCCATATAATGCACTTGTATTAGGTAGTAGCCCTTTTTAGCACTCGGTCCCTTCAGTATCCTAAGGGAAATGTTTGTGCCTTGTAATCCCTATGGCTTGCTTTTATTCAAAGGGAAATTTTAACTTGCGGTAATCCTCTAAATTGTTTGGCATGTAAGTAAAGCAGGTAGTTTGCTGGGGTTTTTTCTTACTGTTCTAACTCAATAGTACACTTCCTGCAAATATGATTTTTTTGTAGAATACAATGAGATTGAATTGGAGTATAAGGATTTTTTGTTGTTGATGCTTATTTGAAGCCAGGGTGAATTAATAGGATTGTATCTCTTCACAGACTTTTACCAAGGAACAGCTGCAAATGTGAAGCTGAGTCCGTTCTAAACATTCCCTTTAGACAAGAGCTCCTTGGAAAACCATATTCGGTGGACTTTTCTCTAGCTGTGGAGCCTTCATTATTTGAGGATACCTATAGACGAAGAGAACTGGAATATAATGACTTCAAAATGAGGTACAGCCACCAGCAATACATTCATGTATGGTACTGTTATTTAAAAAGAAAAGCTAATATTGCTAAGAGCTAAAAACCTTTCTGATTCATGACTGATTGTAAGATATGTCTTGCACTTTTTATTGGCTATATGAATATACCAAAGACATTTCTTTTTTGTTGATTTCAGCAAAGTCGGATAGTCTAACTCTAGATTCACACTATTATGGGTATAGGAGGGTGTGTTTCTGCACCTGTAGACACCCGCAGCCAAAACATGCTGCGCTTTAGCAGATTTGCACGGGGTGCCATTAATTTTAATAGCACCCCAATACATCTGAAAACACAGTATGTTTGCAGGTAAACAAAACCTCATGGTTATGCAGCACCATGTAGTTCCATACAGCTGTCCTGTTGGTGCATTTTGGAAAAAGGGTTGGGGTACAACAGCTCATTCAAATTAATGGACTGCACATACAAACTTGGCACGCAGGACCTGCAAAAGTGTGATCCTAGCCTAAAGCCGGTCATACATGGGTCGATTTCCAAATTATTTTCGTTCGAAAATCAGACCTAAGAATAATCGACCGATTTTCGCTCTGTTAGTGGGGCAATGGCACCGGCTGATTTTCGTGGTTCCTCCCCATTTTGTTAATCGGGCATGTTGGAAAATTGATAAACGGCCAATTTTCGAAATTGATGGCACACTCAGATTACAGAGCGAATGACGTTTTAGATTTTCGAACGAAAAATCGTTCAGAATTCGACCCATGTATGGCCTGCTTAAATTTCCCTCTTTACACAGAAAGTGAACGGAAATCTCTCCCGTGGGGATTCAGAGAGAAAAGAAAAAAAACAGCACTGGGGTTAGGACTTTTGAAAATGTTTTTTATTGCTATTAATGCCTTTTTATTTGGGTGAAAACTGTTTCTCCCATTTCTTTTTTGGGCATCATAGGGTATCACAGGGACAGAATGTGAGGGAGAATAGACTAAAGATCACTTGTTTTGGCTCAGTTGACACAGATCGAATGTACATGCAGATTTGCTGGTCAAATGGCTATACAGTTCCTAATTTATAGGAATTCTGAGAAGTCATAAACAAATTTATAAAGTTATAAACAAAGGACAGTTACAGGAAAGAGTAAGTAGTTTATAAAAAATGAGGGCTAGCTAAAGATTAAGATAAAGGTGATTATATCAAACACTTTTGTCTAGAAATTGCTTTATAATGTACCGTAACTGCTTTAACTCTCCAGTGCTACTGGTGCTCTTTATGCAGTTTTCTTTACTCTATGATGCAATGAACAGCCACAGTTAGGTTCTATGATTCAACTTAGCTTGTCATTAAATGTCTGCAGGGGATTAATTATTGGTTTCCAATTGCCAGACATCTGCTGAGAACATGTTGCTGTATGTACCTGGGATTAATGCACATTTAGTGATGCTTATTATTCAGACTCTATTTGCAAGCTATGATTAAAGGTCAGTACACCTAGTAAGAAAATCAGATGGAAATTCCCAGATCCGAATGGTTGATTATCTGGTCGATAGTATAGTGTTTGACAGCCAATTCCGATTTTTTTTTTTTTTTTTTTTTTTTTTTTTTTTTTTTTTTTTTTTTTAAAGCTAGAAAATGTTTATCTTACGAGAACACAATGTCTGATTTTGTGTACAGTAATCATATGGAAATAATCAAATAGAAAAAAATGCGCATGATCAGAAGCAAATAATGACCTTTACACTTTCTCTTCTACTATGCTAGTATACAGCTACATTTGCCTTTGTCAGCTGAAAAGTTTTGTACAATACTATTCCATTACATCCTAGACACGTACTTTTGGGAAAGATCAGACAAACAATTGTCCGATTTTCTCATTGTGTGCATTAGGCAGGGCTTAAAATTTCAAGTCCTGAGCTACTAGCCAGGCCTTAAGAGTTACTCGCCACCAACAAACAGACACCTGTACACACACAAAAACATGTACATACACACATAGAAACATGTACACACACGTACAGAGACAGATGTGCACACACACACACACACACATACAGGCACATACAGACACGCATACAAACAGATACATGTACATACATAAACAGACACATGCGCGCACACACACGTACGTACATAAACACACACACACACATACACATGTACACAGACACGTACAGATACACACATGTACATACACACACACATGTACATGCATACACAGACACACACAAAAAACACACACACACCCCCATAAAAAGTTGCAGTACTTCGTTGTTCACTCAGGGTACTGCACTCTAGGAGGAGGCAGAGAGCACTCACTGTGCTCAGCTATTGAGCAGTCTGACGGCTCAGAGTGCCAATGACAGATCCGACCTGAGCTCCGAGCCTGCTCAGCAAGACTGCCCTGGGGGACACACTTGCCCCCACCATAATTTCCACTTGCCATTGGTGAGTAGGCGAGTGGAATTTTCAAGCCCTGGGCTAAAGGCCTAGTTCACACCATAAGTGCAGAAAAATTGATGGAAACTGACGCACAGATTTCACTTGCAGAGACATCAGTTTACATCAGTTTTCATGCATGCTTCAATGAGTTTTATACATGTTGCAGAAAAAATCTGCAAGTGATACCAGTGTTGTGGTGTGAAAAGCACACATAGAGAACTATTGATTTTGTTGTGCAGAAAGACCAAGACAAACGTCCCTGCACTATAGTGTGAACAAGCTCCAAGTACTCTGATTCTTCTTTTTTTTTTTTTTTTTTTTTTTTAATTCAGTGTTAGCTGTGTAAAGTCACATTAAAAACTTAGTGTTTAGCTGTGGTTTCCCACGGTTTTCTGCATTTGCGGTTTTAGCTTTTTTTTTTTTTTACCAAAAAAAAAAATTTTTTGGGGTCAAAAAAAGTCCAAAAACGCATTTTACCGCATTTTGCCACATTTTTTCAGCATTAGAGCGTTTTTACAGTTAAAAAGCTCCACTAGAAACCCACTAGTCCTGGGTTTTTTTTCCAGCCAACAAACGTCCCAGCCAAAATATGTTGTTTACAGTCTGTGTGAAAGGACACATAGGATAACAAAAAAACATCAAAAGCCAAAAACAGTAGCTGTAAAAACGTCAAATGTGCATGAGGACTTAATATCAAGAGACTCTTCATGAAGTCACAGACCAGACACACCCATGTTGGAATTAGTCCACATGCACACTTCATTCATAGCTCTCCTACTTCCTATAGGAAGTTTTAAAGTAAAGGATATCGAACAGTTTGGGGGCGTTAAGACACAGGCCACCTACTTCCTGAGATAGGCAAGTAGCTTTTAAGGCCTAGTAAAAGGCTAGTAAACTGTAAAAATTTGTCAAGACAACTCCCCACCTTACTTTATATTAGCCATAAAGTGTCAGTAAACTCTTTGCAAGTTTGCATCTATCATACTGAAATGAATCACTTTAACCAACTGTCTATAAATTATAATCCAGTATTATGCCCAGATACTTTAGTTTCAGTTCTTTATAATGGGATCACAAGACATTTTGGTACTTGCTCCACACTACATTGTGAGATTGATGGATGAGCTAAGCACTAAATCTGTGACACAGCTTGCAGAATAGAAATTGAAGCACCACACCACTGCTAAAAGGTCCAAATACAACTGTATTCCATTAAAAGTCAGGGGTGCAATCCAAAAAAGTTCACAAACGTGTTTCCGGGGACTAAGCTCCCCCTTCATCAGGGCTTTACTGACAACAATGTGAACAAACATTGTTTCTAACATTCAGTTTTGGAATGAATGGACTCTCCCGAAAGAAAAACCAATACAATGTTACAAAGAAATTTGTTAAAAAAAATGTTCATCCTGCTTCTATGAATTTCCTTGTTACTGAGGTTGAAGCTAAGTATCAATTTGACTCCACTAATGATTAGAGAATCAAAGGTAACTTCTTAAAATGAAAAATTACTGCATGGTCAGCTTTAATATTAAAATGCGTTTCATCTGTGTTCAGTAGTCCCTTTTGCAGGCCATACATGGGTCAAATTCTGAACTAATTTTCTTTTCGAAAATCGGAAAGCTCATGCATTTTGTAATCTGATGGTGCCACAATTGATTTCGAAATTCGACCAACCAAGCCTTTCATTTCACATCATGCTGCTACAGAAAATAATTTTCATGGGCAAGATTTTTCTTTTCTTTCCAGGTCACAGCTCATGCTCTTTTCTTTTTTAGTTACATTTCTCACAAGATTCTCCCATCATTGATTAGAAATTTGTTTGTTTTTAAAAAAGTATCCAACATGCCCAATTACTCAATTCGATGGTCGCTTGAAAATCAGCTGTTGCTGTGGCCCACTTATGGTGCAAAATGCAAACGAAAAATCTTAGAAAAGATTTTCTAAAGAGAATTCTTTCAGAATTCGACCCATGTATAGCTGGCTTTATATACAGTATGTATGTACACTCACCGGCCACTTTATTAGGTACATCTGTTCAGTTGCTTGATAACAAATTACTAATCAGCCAATCACCTGGTAGCAACTCAATGCATTTAGGCATGTAGTCATGGTGATGACAACTTGTTGACATTCAAACTGATCATCAGAATGAGGAAAAAGGGGGGGATTTAAATGATTTTGAACATGGCATGGTTGTTAGTGCCAGATGGGCTGGTCTGAGTATTTCAAAAGCTGCTGATCTACTGGGATTTTCACACACAATCATCTCTATGGTTTACAGAAAACGGTCTGAAAAGGAGAAAATAGCCCGTGAGCAGCAGTTGAGTGGACAAAAATGCCTTGTTGAGGTCAGAGGAGAATGGGCAGACTGGTTGCTGCGGCATTCAGATAGTAGGGTCAGTAGAAAGACACTGGAACAAATTTTTAAAAAGACGTTTTAGCACTTAAAATTCACACTTCATGTTACTCAATGGGGCACATCCCAGTAATCTACATTAACATCAATATTATACTTCAGAATTACCATGAGCCCGGCACTTCCTATCGATCATGTGGAATTTGATCAGATCCACTGTGCCTTAGGCCCAATAAAAACTAGTGGCCCTCCCCGGGACATTATTATTAAATTTACATTCTACCACAGGAAAGAGACCCTCCTGCGGACAGCCAGGGAACACTCTGACCTACAATTTCAAGGCAACTGTTACCAGATCTTCACCGACTTATATCAGACCACAATTGTGAAACACCAGATGAAGCCCTACTCCTCAGCCCTCCTTGCTAACCACATCCGTTACCGCTGGAGCTATCCGTTCAAATTGGGCTTTGCCTACAAGGGGTGCACCTATACAGCAACCACCACAGATGAAGCCCAGGCGATCCTGTCTGCCCTGCCTTGCTTTCCGAGGGGAAGCACTCTACTCCACCATGTTTCCCAGCTGTCAGGCCATCAACTCCACTTCCCGGTCGTTCCTGGGAGAAGTTCCAGCCCCGGATATGCTCTCTCCCTTCCACCCCTTCAGTGATGGCCTCTCCCCGATCGGATCCTGGCTGACTGGATCTTCCTAGGGTCGTGAGTACTGTTGTATTGCCATGCCAGGCCCGAAGCCATTGACTTTTCCTGAGGACCCTGGCTCCCAAGTTTCCCTTCTGGGACTACTGACCCGCTCACAAGTGCCTTCTGCCTGATCTTTCCCCTCTCGTGTTTCCCTTCCCTCTATTTCCTTTACCTCACAACCCACACATCCTCTTCCCATCTCCCCTTAATTTCCTTACCCTCTTTTATTCTTCCTCCGTTTTTCTATTGCCCTCTTCCTCCTCCTCCCGCTCTATCCCTCCCTGGCCCGGCCATTTTGCCCACTCTTTCCTCCTGGTCTTCTCAACTTTACTTCTCCCTCCCTCCTTCCACCTTCCTCCCCCCACACTTTTTTTCTCCCCCCCCCCCCCCCCCCCATTCTCTCCCTATCTTTCTCTCTCCCCCCCCCCCCCCCCTCTTTTCCTTCCCCTCCTTCCTTTGCCATACCCCCCTTACCTCCCCCGTCACTTGCTGCAACGTGAGCACAAAGGTTATTAGTGCCCTTAGGGGAGCGTGCCCGGTTGCGAGATCCAGACCAGTTCTCTTCCCTGATGGGGTTGGAATTGGACTAGACATACTTACGATTCACTCTCCTTGAGGATGTGGTTGAGGGGGGTGGGTGCTGGACCTCCCACTGGGGGGGACCCACTGCCTCTTGTATTGCTTTAAACTAACATTAGGTTACTTTTTGTACCTTTTGTAGGCTTTTGACCTTAATTGGTCGCTCTGATATGTTTTTTTTTCTCATGCCTGTTATCACTTCCTTAAGTGTTTTGTTATTTTGACCTGTTTGGTATTTTATGGATGTCCTTGGCTCATTTTTGGGTCCGCTCCCGGTGTGGGGTTGTTTCCTCCGCCCTTGCCTCGGGGCCTCTACTACACCCCCCCCCCCCCCCCCGCTGGGCGGGCAGGGCACCTCCATGTGTGGGCGTTGGATCTGACCCTGATGGTACTTCCATGTTTGGCTCATCATGTTTCCCCTTCCCTTCCCTACCCCTTCCCCTCCCCCTTCCGGTTCCTGCGGAGACCCCTATCCTTCCATATAATATTTTGGCCCTAGGGCCGCTAGAAGCCATATGTCCGGTGGTGATAAGAGGAGAGAGAGAGGGAGGGGCGCCAGACTAAGTGCAGTATTATGCAATCATTTATTGCACACAATAGTATGTAACTCACAAGAGGTAAGTAGTTAGCAGGCATGGGTACATAGGGACGTCATCCAGAAAAGGTTCCAGGTGCAGAGAAGAGGGTAGATGGACATCTGGGGGCCGCGGCTGTGGTGAAAGCCAGGTCTCCTGACTCGCATCTAGTGCTCTGCAGTGTGTACAGGTTGTGTCTTGTGTGTGGAACCAGACTGGAACGCAAGATGGCCACCAGGTGGAAGTGACAGCCGCGGCCCCCAGATGTCCATCTACCCTCTTGTCTGCCTCTCCGAGATCTCACTGCTTGCCTTGAGCTGGTGGCGGTGACCTGGAGACCTTCTTCTTCGGCTAAGAGACGGAAGGCCCGCAATAATATCGCTGTGGAATTGGACCTTCTGGCTTCAGACCAGTTGGAGAAGGCACTTTGCTGGGCCAGGCATAAATATTTTTCTTCTGCTAATAAACTTGGTGGTGCTATGTTGGCATGGAGGCTGAATTCTTCTGGTTGCCTCCATAAGCCCATCAAATTATGCTCGGAATGGTGATCTCTCCTCTGACCTTAAAAATATAGTGGATTCCCTCGCTACCTTTTTATCTTATCTTTATTCCCAGCCTGCCCCCTTTGCTATCGATAAGGCTGATGCCTTTTTTTCGGGATCTCTACCTTCCATCCTTTGTTGACTTCGGCACAAGACACGTTGAACTCCCCTGTCCCATTTCGGAGGTGCTGCAGGCCATTAAGTCCGTCCGTTTATCAAAAGCCGCGGGTCCAGATGGATTCTCTGGTCTTTATTATCGCAAATTCTCCTTGCTCTTGGCCCCATTCCTGACT